CGCATCTCTCTTTGTCTCCGTGAGGGCGTCGTGCGCGGGTTAAGGGACTGATAAGGGAGTAATTAAGACTGCTTAATAGCATTGATCGTGAGTGTGTGTGTGTGAGTGTGTGTGTGCGTGTGTGAGTGTGCGTGTGTAGAGTGTGTGTGAGTATGTGTGTGAGTATGTGTGTGAGTGCGTGTGAGTGTCTGAGTGAGTGTGTGACTAAGTGAGTGTGTGAGTGTGTAAGTGTGCGTGTGTGTGTGAAGTGTGGGGAGCGGTGGCGCAGTGTTTAGCGCTACGCTGCGCTACGAACCCGGCGTCCCGAGTTCGATTCCTGCTCACGGCCAAAACCGATGACGATTATCTGAACCGGTCCTGGGCATCCCCTAGGTCGACTCAGCCTCATATGAGTACCTGGTGCAGTGTGTAAACATCGCCACTGGGGAGACAAAGGCGGCCAGGCGTAGTGCTGGCCACCCACCCCTTTGTGCGCTGTCCTGGCCTTCGTAGGTGCTACTCGCTAACAGCACTTGCCCCGACAGTCTGTTGAGGCTACATGGGGGTGGCTAGGAGATGTTAACTACCTCGCCTGGTATACAGGAGGTCGTGAGTTTGATCCCCCGACCCTGACGGCTGCTGTATATTTGGAGTTTGCGGTGTCTCTCTTCCCGTGGTCACGTGGATGTTTCTCCACGTCCTCCGGTGTTTCCCTCCACACTGAGAAACGTGTGTTTCGAGTATTGGGCTGCTCTAAATTTCCACATGATAAGCCGCTTCGTTGAGCTTTCATTTGTGATGGACAGCTACATAGCTGAGTTGGGGTCTTACCTGGTAACAAATAATAAATACATAACCACAGCTTTGTCTTCGTTTACGTGAGCGTGTGTGTCTGTGTCCGTGGGGCAGTTGTGGAGGAGTTGCCAATTCTTGTGATTGCTACTCAGTCTGAAAACAAGTTGTACAGGCGACTGCTGCTGAAGCTGGAGGGTGCCATTACGAGGTTGGGGCCTTACCCCATCAGCACCACCAAAACTAAGCACATGCTCGGGTGTGTTGTGTCGTCAAACACTCGACCTCCTCAAGCACTCCCCCACGAGTGATGGGGCAGTCTTGGGGAGATTGGAGGAGTTTCCGTACCTGAGCAGCGTGCTCATGACCAGGTTGGCTTTGGCAGCGGAGGTCTCGCTCCCAACAGCCGAGCGCCGTTGTGTTTTCGTCAGCTGCGTAACGCCGTATGGAAGCTACCTGATCTGTCGCTCCACACTAAGCTTCATGTCTTCTCGGCCACGGTCATTCCCTCCCTTCTCTTTGCTGGCGAAACGTGGACCCCTCTAAAGGAACATCTGCGCTGGTTTAAAACATTCAGGCTGGCCTGCTTACGATCTATCCTGGGTTTAACCTGCAGACTGGAGTGCAGTGTGAAGAGCTCACAAATCCTTGAAATATCTGGACACATTCCCAACAGTGAGCTCCTCCGACAGGCGAGGCTGTTTTGGCTGGGTAATGTAGCCCACATGCCTAGCCACCACTGTTCGGTCGGATAGATGGGGATAAACGGACGCGGCATGGGCTGGAGAAGAGATAGAATTTATGTGGTACAAGAGGATTTGCAGGTGAGTGGAATTTCCGATGACTGGTACCAGCGGTATCAAGATCGGCCTCTCTGGAGGAGGCTCGTGAAGGACGCTGCTGCTGGGCAGTTGGAGGCAGTCGCCCTCCAGCAACAATGGAGGGCATAGGAGCGACGTTCACAACAACGAGCAGAGCGCCAGGTGGCTAAAACGCAGCGAGTTGGCACAGTGAGGAGCACAGGTGGTGCATCGGCCAGTCATCTCAGTCAGTCGACTTGTGGCACCTCGGTCTATGCCGCGAACTCCTGCCAGCGAGCGTTCGACACTTCACGTGGCCTAAAAGTGCACATAGCCTGGCACAAGCGCCGTGGTGATGTCACAGCCACAGAATGGTGAAGATCGGCTGTTGTTGTTATGTACCTGTGTGTGTACACAAATACAAAGATTCCCCGTGTTGCCTCAACATAATTTTGGGGCAAGTGCTGTAAGCGAGTCGCGCCTATAAAGGTCGGCACGGCACACGAGGGGTTGGGTGGCCAGCACCACCCCTGGCCGCCTTTGTCTCCGCATTCACGATGTTTCCCCACCGCACCAGGTACTTGCATGAGGCCGAGCCGACCTAGGGGAGGCCCAGGTACCGGTTCAAGATAATCGTCACCGGTGTTGGTGGTGATAGCCGTGAGCGGGAATCGAACTTGGGTGGCCGGGTTCGTGGCTCTGTGGGGGGAGTCCGTCCGGGCCCCCCTCCCCCCCTACCCCCCATCTTTACCCTCCTCCCTCCCCTCCACCCCCCTCCCTACCCCCATCCCCTCATCACCGAACATCGGAGTTTAATTCACGCAGCTGCCATGGCTCCGAGTCGACGTAGGGCAGGCCCAGTACCGGGCCTCAGACAATCGTAGCACAGCGTAGTGCTCGGCGCTACGCTGTGCTACGAACCCGGCGACGCGAGCTCGATCACCGCTCATGGCCAACACCAGTGACGATTATCTTAACCTGGTCCTGAACCTCCGCTAGGTGGACTCAGCCTCAAGCTAATACCTGGCGCGGTGTGTAAGACATCACCAATGGAGAGAGACAAAGGCAGCCGTGCCAGCGTGGTTGCTGGGTCACCCGCCCACTTCGTCGTGTGCCCGTGCCGACCTTCATAGGTGGTGCTACTCGCTACTAACAGCACTTGCCCCAACAGCCCTGCTAGAGGCTAGACGGGGGAGCTTTGTCTGTGTGTATATCATAGGTGCTGCTACTCGCAACTAACGTCACTTGCCCCTACAACCCAGCTATAGGCTACACGGGGAGCTTTGTCTTTGCAGTTTAGCGGGGAGCGCTCCTACACGCTTGGCCAATCCCATGTAATACCCCTTCGCTCGCTCCACTGCGCCCCCTCTGCTCCCCCCTCTCCCTCCCCATAGCAGATGTGCCCCCTCCTCCTCCCGCAGGCTCCATCCCTCTCTCTCTCTCTCTAACTCTCTCCATCCATATTTCTCGTTTTCTCTGCCCTCTCTCTCTGTGCCTCTTTTTTTACGATCAGAGGAAACAAGAAGATGCTCGGTGTAGTCGGCATCATTTCATTTTTTGTTTTTTTTAATGCTTTGCTTTATGTAACCCCCCACCACTTTTTAAATGAAAGATTTCACAATAGATTTCACGCTCTGCTCTCCTTACCCATTCCCTCTCTCTCTACCTCCTCTCTCTACCCCCCCTCTCTCTCTACCCCCTCTCTCCCTACTCCATGTCTATGTTCCCCCTATGTTTTCTATGTAATAGTTGTAATATTATTATATATAAAAAAAATACAAGTGCTGCATCTGCACCGAGCCCTTCTCGCAGTCCTACGGCCTCCGACTCTCTCCCCATGTGAATCTCTCTCTCCGTGCATCCGCTATCACCCTTCTACCCATCTCTCTCTCTCCCTCTCGCTTTTCCTCTCTCTCCGCATGAATCCATCTCCCTGTGCATCACTCTCTCCCCCCTCTCCTCTCCCCCATCTCCTCTCCTCCCTCTCTCTCTCTCCCATCCCATCCATCCATCCCTCTCTCCCACTCCCTCCCTTCCTCTCCCTCCCCTCTCACCCCCGCCCTCTCGCCGTGCATATCCTCGCTGCCAACGCCCCGAGTGAAGCCGCGCAATTGAAATCGCATCTGGGAGCCATCACGGCTGCCACGATATTTGCTGACGCACAGCATGGGAGGGGGCGGCGCTGCGGGGTGGAGGAGGGGGGGGCAGGCGACCCCCCGTGCGTGCTGGAGGCACCGTCGCCGCGAGGGGAGGGGCTCACTCCGAGAGCCCCAATGGGCAGAGGAGTCTGCGCATCTGTGCAAGCGAAAACAGAAAAGAGCTTTATAGCTCATCAGATTTCCTCCTTCGGTATAAATACATCTGATGCGGATTCTGCGAGGAGTGCCTATCGGGAGAGCATTTGCCCTTCTGCCAGCAGCCAGGGCGATGATTGCCGCTACTGATGATGCTGCTGCTGTGGTTATAGCCAAGGGGCACGCCCATTGGCTGCTGTCCCTGTGCATTGGTTCCGCTCTGCGTAAAACTAGAAGCATGAAATTATGCTCTTTTTGAAATTGTACCCAGGTAAGGTGTCCACTGAGCTATGCAGCTTATCAAAAGCGATCTGGATATCACAAATGAGAGCTCAACGAAATGACGCCTTATCATCATCATCACGTGGACATGTATAGCAGCAGCCGAATACTCTCTAAATGCGTGGTGTTGAAATGTGGAGGGGAAAAACGGGAGGACCCGGAGACAAATCCACGCGACCACGGGGAGAAAGAGACACGCAAACTCCAAATACACAGCAGGCGCCAGTGTCCGAACAAAACCCACGACCTGCTGCGTACCATATGAGGTAGTTAACATCTCCTAGCCACCGTGATAATGATGAGAGAGAGACACCCAGATTCCAATTATGCAGCAGACATCAGGGTCGGGATCGAACCCACGACCTCCTATATCCCTTATCTGCTAAAAATATAAATAATGAGTTGTATGTTTGGGAATTTGGCCAATGCTGTTGTCTATGTTCATGCATGCGGGCAGAAGAGCAGAGTGCTCGGAGAATAGCCACGCGCTCGAGGGAAGTGGCCTGGGTCCACCACTCACGGTCCTCCACTCACGGTCCACCCTAAACCGCATCCACTGCGCAAACCATGGCAGCAGCACACGCGGATGATAGCTGATGCAGCACAAATGTGAAGTTAAAAAACCTCAACTCTCCCATAGCGGTGCAACTGCAGTCATCCAGAACAGAGCGCGAAAGGTATGATGACGACGCGACAATGCCCCGATCCGCACACACACAAAGAAGGAGACATCGCGGCAATGACGATTCACTACCCTGTTTGGCTCCTGACGCGGTTATCTGACTCGACCAAGAACAAGAAGAAGAAGGAGGAGGAGGAGGGGGAGGGGAAGAGAAAAAAAGAAGATAATTACCTTCTGGAGGAACTGGGATCCCGAGTATCTGCTGGAGATGGACTTGATCTCTCCTCCAAAGGCAGAGGCCCAGAGCTTCACTCTGTGAGGAACAATGGGACAGACAACCTGACTACCCTTCTCCTCCACAATAACAACAGCCACAACAATAACCACCTTAACAGGCTGTTGGGGGCAAGTGCTGTTAGTGAGTTGCAACACCTATGAAGGCCATTACTGTGGCACAAGAGTGGGTGGGTGCAGTGCCGAATTATGGTAGTAGCAAAAATAGCTACATATGATGCTATGGGCCCCGCACTTTCAAGGTCCCCGCACTAAATGCTTTCAAGCTATCAATTCGGGTTCAGTGATTCTGCACTTGCTCTATTACTATAGTACTTACTGCCTTCGACGTTTATGAATGACTGGGTGTTTAAGGTTAGCGACCTGCCGTATTATCTGGCTGTATAACAAATGAATACATACATTTACTTTACGATGCAAGTAAAAGATGAGTGTTTTAATTTTTTTCATTTTAGGGCCCCTTTATAACATACTAGTGGGAAGTACCCGGCGTTGCCCGGGCGAAAATATTATTTCAAAACTTCTCTTAAAAGCCTTACATATACATACACAGATAGTAAGCTATTGTAAAAGCCCGGTGGGCCGTTTGTCCATTTCGCCACCAACAAAATTATAAGAGGCTTGCAAAAGTCCAAAAAGTTATAGAAAGTGTGGGGTAAAAAGTTGATCTAAAAGGTTTCCGAAAATTCTGGACCTCCCCTCAAAAAATATATTTACCCCCCACGTAGATAGCTGTATTGACTGACTGTAGTGGTATATACTGACTGTTTTAGTATCTACTAACTCTATATAGCAGTATCTACCAACTCGATAGCAGTATCTACTATCACTACAGCAGTGCATATCGACTTTGCTGGTACCTGCTTTCACTACAGCAGTGCATACTGACTGTGGTGGTACCTGCTATGATTACAGCAGTGCATACTGCTGTGGTGGTATCCTGCTATGACTACAGCATTGCAAAATAAGTTATAGAAAGTGGGGGGTAAATAGTTGATCCAAAAGGTTTCTGAAAATAGTTGACCCCCCCCCCTTCAAAAAAGATATTTACCTCCACGTAGGTATATATACCTACACACCCTACATACAATAGAGTAAGTATTATCTCTTGACTCTGTAGTTGTATCTACTGACTGTACAGTAGTATCTACTGAGCCAGTAGTAGCTACTGACTATGTAGTAGTATCTACCGACTCTATAGTAGTAACAACTAAATCTATAGTAGTATCTGCTGACCCTATAGGAGTATACACTCACTATAGTAGTAACTACTAACTCTATAACAGTATCCACTGACTCGAAAGCAGAAGCTACTGACCGTAGTAGTGTCTACTAACTGTGTAGTAGTATATACTGACTGTAGCAGTATTTACTGACCGTAGTGGTATATACTGACTGTTTTAGTATCTACTAACTCTATATAACAGCATCTACAAACTGGATAACAGTTCCTGCTATGATTACAGCAGTGCAAACTGTGGTGGTATCCTGCTATGACTACAGCAGTGCATGTTGACTGTGGTGGTATCCTGCTATGACTACAGCATTGCATGCTGACTGTGGTGGTACCTGCTATGATTACAGCAGTTGAAACTGCTGTGGTGGTACCTGCTATGATAACAGCAGTGCATATTGTGGTGGTACCTGCTATGATTACAGCAGTGCATACTGCTGTGGTGGTACCTGCTTTGATAACAGCAGTGCATATTGTGGTGGTACCTGCTATGATTACAGCAGTGCATACTGCTGTGGTGGTACCTGCTTTAACTACAGCAGTGCAAAGCGACTGTGGTGGTATCCTGCTATGACTACAGCATTGCATGCTGACTGTGGTGGTACCGGCTATGATTGCAGCAGTTGAAACTGCTGTGGTGGTACCTGCTATAACAGCAGTGCATATTGTGGTGGTACCTGTTATGATTACAGCAATGCATACTGATTGTGGTGGTATCTGCTATGATTACAGCAGTACGTATTGTGGTGGGACCTGCTTTCACTACAGCAGTGCATACTGCTGTGGTAGTACCTGCTTTGATAACAGCAGTGCATATTGTGGTGGTACCTGCTATGATTACAGCAGTACATATTGTGATGGTACCTGCTTTCACTACAGCATTGCATACTGCTGTGGTGGAACCTGCTATTACAGCAGTGCATACTGACTGTGGTGGTACCTGCTATGATTACAGCAGTACATATTGTGGTACCTGCTTTCACTACAGCATTGCAGACTGCTGTGGTGGTACCTGCTTTGATAACAGCAGTTCATAGTGGTGGTACCTGTTATCACGACAGCATTGCATGCTGACTGTGGTAGTACCTGCTATGACTACAGCATTGCATGCTGACTGTGGTGGTATCCTGCTATGACTACAGCAGTGCATGCTGACTGTGGTGGTATCCTGCTTTGACTACCGCATTGCATGCTGACTGTGGTGGTATCCTGCTATGATTACAGCTTTCACTACAGTAGTACATGCTGACTCTATCTATCTTATATATGAAAGGAAAATTTGTGAATGTGTCTGTTCGAAATGTTTAGCATACTTGCCGACATGCAACCAACTTTTATTATCATACACTCACGCACACAACCCATTCACTCATCATACACTCACTCATCATACGCTGACTCACTCATCATAAGCTGAATCACTCACACATCATACACTGGGAGTGTCATGCTGCAAGCTATGGCTGCTAGTTTGGTCGTACATGTTATTTATATCTTTTATTGTTAAATGAGAATCACAGTTCCTATGATTACTGTTGTTGCATTGTTTTTGAAGCTTTTTTTGGTGATTTAGAAAACATATGGTTAATCTACCTTATGGTTGGTATTGTTTGACTTGCATCACACTGGGATTTCAGCACACAGCGTTGTAATACGTTTTTTTAAAGATTTGCTGGTTTATCTAGAGGATGTTTCTGTTGCGCGTCGTCGCTTCAAGACGATTCTAAAGGAATCTATAACCTTCAATTTCTTTGCGCGATTTAAAGAATCGATTCTTGGCGCGATCGGGTTTTATTTTATTTTAAATTAATGAATTTTGATTTAAAGCTTTCGTGACTGCAGGGATTAATATTCTTGGTTCTTTCGGTAAAGTCACGTAGAAGGGAAACAATAAAATAATAAAAGTATAAAACAATAAAATGCTCACGACGTTTCGACTGCAACACCAGCAAACATCATCAGGTGTGGTTTTCACACCTGATGATGATTGCTCTGCTTGAATGAATGCTGGTGAACTAGCAGATGGTTATAGGCAAGGACTCTCTCTTTTAGGCATGGGTCCTAGTTCGACACGAAACGATTTAATTCACAAGCCTCAGATACTCATAAACTTTGCAAGGAGGTGGACGATGATCATTGAGATGGTGATGGTGGAAGGATATGAGATGGATGGATATGAGATGATGGAGATGATGATGGTGGGAATTGGTGATGAGATGGAGATGATGGGAGATGATGATAATGGTCATGATGGATATGAGATGATGTAATCAATAATGATCACAACAACAATAATCACTTCTAGATTTGAAGCTTTCGTGACTGCAAGGATCCATACATTTTGTGGTTATATTCGGTAAAGTCACGTAGGTAAAAAAAACCAAAAAAACAAAAAAACAAAAAATCACGACGTTTCGGCCACAACACAAGTGGCATTCATCAGGTGAAGGGACACACCAACAACAATCACACCAACAACCAGAACAACAGCCAAGCAACAGCAACTATACCAACAACAACCACAACAACAACACCAACAACAACCACACCAACAACAACCATACCAACAACCAACAAAAAACACACCAACAACCACACCAACAACAACAATCAACACCAATAACCACAGCAACAACCACCACGACAGCCTCCGAGTGGACACGTGTCTCCCCCCACACCATCCCCTCGATCCTCTTAGCGACTCGCCGGAGCGCCAGCACCCCGCCTCGCCCTCGCACAGACAAAGCACCCCCGGGTAGCCCGCGCACTTTGCTGGGAAAGTGCCGTAAGTGACGGTCGCCAGCACCACGCTCGCTCGCCCGCCCAGCCGCCTTTGTCTCCCCATCGCTGATTGCAGACGAACCCACCGGGCTCGGAGCGCAGCACGCTAACCGCTGCGCCACCGCTCCACACACACACAGACAAAGACCCCCCGTATAGCCTGTAACGAGCCGTAGCGGCAAGGGCTGTTATGAACACGAGGAGGGCGGTGGGTCTGGCCAGAACCAGTCCCGGCCGCCTTTGTCTTTATAGTGCTGATGTACATACATACCATATACACACACACACATAGCCATATACACAATATACAGCCATATATACACAATGCACACACATATAGCCATATATACACAATACACACACATATAGCCATATATACACAATACACACAGCCATATATACACAATATACACACATAGCCATATATAAACACAATACACACATATCGCCATATATACACAATAACACACATAGCCATATATACACAATATACACACATAGCCATATATACACAATATACACACATAGCCATATATACATACATACACACAATACATACAAACAAACATATATACAAAGGCAAAATCCCCCGTATAGCCTTAACAAGACTGTTGGGGCAAGTACTGTTAGCGAGCAGCACCTATGAAGGCCGGCACAGCCCACGAGGGGATGGATGAGTGAGTGGCCAGCACCACGCCCGGCCGCATTTGTCTCCCCAGTGGCGATGTTTACACACCGCACCAGGTTCTCAATTGAGGCTGAGTCGACATAGGAGAGGCTATACGACTGCTTAAGACATTTGCTGTCAACGATGTCGGGCCGTGAGCGGGAATCGAATTTGGGTGGTCGGGTGTGTAGCGCACAGCCCTAACCATTGCGCCACCACTCCCCATGTAAAACACACTGACATACGAACGTACACGCAGACAACCGCACAGGCAGAAACACATTCATTCACACATACAAACGGTACATAAACACTACACACATACATACAGAGGCAG